CAGGGTGGTCAGGGGACGTAATGTTACCATCAGGGTGGTCAGGGGACGTAATGTTACCATCAGGGTTAACTGCACTGAACAAAAATAGAAACGCAACATGGAACAATTTCATTGATTTTACTGAGCTACAGTTCATATGAGGAAATCAGTCAACTGGAATAAATTCATTAGGCCCTAATCTATGGATTTCACATGACTGGAAATAAAGATTTGCATCTGTTGGTCACAGATACCTTGAAAAAAATGGGCCTCACAATGGACCTCAGGATCTCGTCACAGTATTTTTGTGCATTCAATACGTCATCGATAAAATGCAATTGTGTTCGTTGTCTGTAGCTTATGCCTGCCCATACCATAACCCCACCACCACCATGGGGCACTCTGTTCACAACGTTGACATCAGCAAACCGCTCACCCACAAGACGCCATACACGTGGTCTGCGGTTGTGAGGCCGGTTGGACGTACTGCCAAATTCTCTAAAACGAAGTTGGAGGTGGCTTATGGTAGAGAAATGCTCTGGTGGACATTCCTGCAGTCAGCATGCCAATTGCACGCTCCCTCAAAACTTGAGACATCTGTGGCATTGTGTTGTGTGACAAAACTGCACATTTTACAGTAGCCTTTTATTGTCCCCAGAACAAGGTGCACCTGTGTAATGATCATGCTGTTTAATCAGCTTCTTGATATGCCACACCTGTCAGGTGGATGGATTATCTTGGCAAAGGAGAAATGTTCACTAACAGGGGTCAGAGAGAATAAGAGTCTGGACTGTATGATTCAGGGGAAAGGGCAGGGGTCAATGATTCATCTGAAAATGTACCACAAAAGCAGTAGCCAGTGGCAGAAAGAAACACACATTGATCAGCTAATTTGTTTGTTTTGTAAATCAATAGTAATACAGGCAGAGCGTTGGAATAAGCAACAGAAAACTACTGGTTCTCAAGCAAGACGTATACATACAATTCTCAGTAAATATTGAACTAAACTCTAGTACATGGCAAACAATTCTATTTCAAACAAAACACTGCAGGGGATCACTTGTTTCTGTTCAAATTATTTACGATGTAGCTGTCGGTCGCCATGGTGAAATAGTGCTAGAGGTTACAACTCATTTAAGAGCCCTGTCTGAGCTTGTTAAATCCAGGGTATTAACACCACATCCTGTTTGTGTCTGTCTCAAAGGCTTATAGCATGTACAGCAGTTACATTCACAAGTCATTCACAGTCTCTATGTCTGTCCATCCACAAGTCATTCACAGTCTCTATGTCTGTCCATCCACAAGTCATTCACAGTCTCTATGTCTGTCCATCCACAAGTCATTCACAGTCTCTATGTCTGTCCATCCACAAGTCATTCACAGTCTCTATGTCTGTCCATCCACAAGTCATTCACAGTATCTATGTCTGTCCATCCACAAGTCATTCACAGTCTCTATGTCTGTCCATCCACAAGTCATTCACAGTCTCTATGTCTGTCCATCCACAAGACAAGTCATTCACAGTCTCTATGTCTGTCCATCCACAAGTCATTCACAGTCTCTATGTCTGTCCATCCACAAGTCATTCACAGTCTCTATGTCTGTCCATCCACAAGTCATTCACAGTCTCTATGTCTGTCCATCCACAAGTCATTCACAGTCTCTATGTCTGTCCATCCACAAGTCATTCACAGTCTCTATGTCTGTCCATCCACAAGTCATTCACAGTCTCTATGTCTGTCCATCCACAAGTCATTCACAGTCTCTATGTCTGTCCATCCACAAGTCATTCACAGTCTCTATGTCTGTCCATCCACAAGTCATTCACAGTCTCTATGTCTGTCCATCCATCTGTCCTTCTGATTATCCCACCTGTCTCTGTCTACCTCCATTAGGAACACACATTCATCAACTCCTCTGATTGCCTGGGTCAACAGCACACATGGGAGGGGAGGGCAGGAGGATGGGTATGAACGGAGCATGGCAGGAGGGCAGGAGGATGGGTATGAACGGAGCATGGCAGGAGGGCAGGAGGATGGGTATGAACGGAGCATGGCAGGAGGGCAGGAGGATGGGTATGAACGGAGCATGGCAGGAGGGCAGGAGGATGGGTATGAACGGAGCATGGCAGGAGGGCAGGAGGATGGGTATGAACGGAGCATGGCAGGAGGGCAGGAGGATGGGTATGAACGGAGCATGGCGGGAGGGCAGGAGGATGGGTATGAACGGAGCATGGCGGGAGGGCAGGAGGATGGGTATGAACGGAGCATGGCGGGAGGGCAGGAGGATGGGTATGAACGGAGCATGGCAGGAGGGCAGGAGGATGGGTATGAACGGAGCATGGCAGGAGGGCAGGAGGATGGGTATGAACGGAGCATGGCAGGAGGGCAGGAGGATGGGTATGAACGGAGCATGGCAGGGTGGCACACATCACCGCACTGCACACAGCCAGACCAGACCCAGACCAGACCAGACCAGACTAGACCCAGACCCAGACCAGACCCAGACCAGACCAGACTAGACCCAGACCCAGACCAGACTCAGACCAGACTCAGACCAGACCCAGACCCAGACCAGACTCAGACCAGACCCAGACCCAGACCCAGACCAGACTCAGACCAGACCCAGACCAGACCCAGACCCAGACTCAGACCAGACCCAGACCAGACCAGACTCAGACCAGACCAGACTCAGACCCAGACCAGACCACAGCAGCTGCCTCTTCCCATTGGCTGGGCTGCCACAACAACAGTTAGTGGAGGGTGGAGTGGGTCATGGGCATGGCATGGTATACCACAGGGTGGGGAGGGAGGGTTGGATGGATATTGGGAGGGGAGGGAGGGAGGGAGGGACGGATGGAGTGGAGGGAGGGACGGATGGAGTGGAGGGATATTGGGAGGGGAGGGAGGGACGGATGGAGTGGAGGGATATTGGGAGGGGAAGGGAGACAATAGTTTTTGACTTCTAGATACTACCTGATCAACAAACCAGACTACAGGGAGGGAGTGGGTGGGTGGGTGGGGAGGTAGAGGTAGGTAGGTTATGCTTTGAGAACAGAACAGGGGTGGCACCTCCACACAGTGAGGTGAATGGAACAGGTTAGTCTCACAACAAGGAGAAGTGAGTAAAACAATCTACACAACAAAACTCCACGAAGGGGATTGATCAAGATGTGTATTGTGATTCTCATTGATTGTATTGTGATTGTGTGTGTGTGTGTGGGGGGGACACACACACACAGAGAGAGAGGAGGGGGGGACAAAGAGAAAGAGAGGAGGGGGGAGAGAGAGGAGGGGAGGGGGGGGGGGGGAGAGAGAGAGAGAGGAGGGGGAGAGAGAGAGAGAAAGGAGGGGGGAAAGAGAGAGGGGAAATCTTTGACTACGTGAGCATAGCCTTGCTATTGAAAAAGGCCACCGTAGGCAGACCTGGCTCTCAAGAGAAGACAGGCTATGTGCACACTGCCCACAGAATGAGGTGGAAACTGAGCTGCACTTCCTAACTTCCTGCCAAATGTATGACCATATTAGAGACACACACTTCCCTCAGATTACACAGACCCACAAATAATTTGAAAACAAATCCAGTTCTAAAGCTAACAAAGTTGGAAGCACAGAATCATCTAGAATGTCATTGTTTGCTGTAGCGTTAATATTTCCCTTCACTGGAATTAAGGGGTCGAGCACGAACCATGAAAAACAGCCCCAGACCATTATTCCTCCTCCACCAAACTTTACAGTTGGCACTATGCATTGCGGCAGGTAGCGTTCCCTTGGCATCCGCCAAACCCAGATTCGTCTGTCAGATTGCCAGATGGTGAAGCGTGATTCATCACTCCAGAGAACGCATTTGCACTGCTCCAGCGTCCAATGGCGGTGAGCTTTACACCACTCCAGCTGACGCTTGGCATTGCGCATTGTGATCTTAGGCTTGTGTGGCTGCACGGCTGCACGGCCATGGAAACCCATTACATGAATCTCCTGACAAACAGTTATTGTGCTGACGTTGCTTCCAGAGGCAGTTTGGAACTCGGTAGTGAGTGTTGCAACCGACGACAGACGATTTTTACGCGCTTCAGCACTCGACGGTCCCGTTCTGTGAGCTTGTGTGGCCTACCACTTCGCGGCTGAGCCGTTGTTGCTCCTAGACGTTTCCACTTCACAATAACAGCCCTTACAGTTGACCGGGGCAGCTCTAGCAGGGCAGAAATTTGACGAACTGACTTGTTGGAAAGGTGGCATCCTATGACGGTGCCACGTTGAAAGTCACTGAGCTCTTCAGTAAGATCATTCTACTGCCAATGTTTGGCTATGGAGATTACATGGCTGCGTGCTAGATGTTATACCCCTGTCAGCAACGTGTGTGGCTGAAATAGATGAATCCAATAATTTGAAGGGGTGTCCACACATCTTTGTATATACAGTGTCTTCTGAAAATATTCAGACCCCTTGACTTTTTCCACATTTTGTTACATTTCAGTGTTATTCTAGAATTGATTACATAGTTTTTTTCCCCCTCATCAATCTACACACAACACCCCATAATGACAAATCAAAAACAGGTTTTTAATTTAAAAAAAAAAAAAAAACACGGAAATTAGGGCTGAACGATTAATTGCATTCGCGATAATATCGCGATTTGACTGAACGCGATTTTCTAATCGCAACGTGCGCGATTTGAGGTGGTCACGTGACGCGACTTTTCATGCTGTCCAGCGCAATGGCCTCTTGCTCGACGGAACAGTCAGAAACTGACACAGCTGATACTTTAATATCGAAGAGGAACAGCACGTCGGTGGTGTGGAACTATTTTGGTTTTAAAAAAGAAGATGCTGAGCAGCGTCAGGTGTTGTGCAGAGCATGCCGTGCTCCGATTGCTACTTCACGGGGTAACACTACAAACCTGTTTCAGCACTTAAAAAAATACCACAAATCAATGCATGACAGTTGTATGACCAAAATGCCGAGCATCAGTGCGCGAGACAAGCCAAATACCTCAAGACAGGGATCACTGACAGAAATGTT